GGTACTCAGTATTGTGTTAACTTCCCTTGCTTGCAAATTTCTTCAGCTGCCCAGGTATCATTAGCAACTTCTCACACTCTTAAAAAACACCATAAAAATAATGTTTAGCCCAACAGAAGCTGCACACATTCTTGGCTCATGCTGCAGTATCAACATTATCAGATACATTACACTGTGTACAAACAAAAAGCAGAAACCAGGTTTTCGTCTCAGTAAATCAGATTACATCATTAGTAATCAAAACAGGCAGAGGCTCAACTATGCTGCTGCATTGCATTGAATGTTTCACAGTACAGCTTGAGTCAGGGAACAGGAGATACAAACATAGAATAAATTATTGTCTTTTGTGAAATGTAGAGAGAAAGAAAAGGAGAGTTTAGTGTCATCGATATAATCTCTTCTATGCTTCTTAACTTCATGGTCAGAAGTTAATGTTTCAGCTTCACCTGCAGACAAGGTTAGACTTTTGTCTGTGCACAATTAGTGAGGTTTTAGATGAACTGTTTTGCTCCCTGAGGGGTGGGAATGGCAATCACTATATCACATGTCATCAGGGAACAAGGTGAGAACACCTTCAGCTGTTCTAATCATACTTTATTGTATATATCTTTCCACAACTATAGGTTTTCACTTCTAAGAAAAGGGTTCCTTACTACATTCTACTATAAAAGAATTAAATAAATTCCTATGTATATTTGTGTATCCATGCATATGTGCATGTGTAATGTACATTCATGCACTAATAGATGCCGTGGGGCACCCAGCCAGAAAGCAGCTTGGCAGAACAGGAGCCAGCACTGTGCCCTTGCCTCAGAAGGCAGGTGGTATCTGGAGCTGCACTATCTGCAATACACAAAGTATTGTCAGTAAGTCAAGAATGATTCTTCCCCTAGAGTGAGTACTGGAGAGGTCAAATCAGGAGAGCTGTGTCCAATTCTAGACTCCTCAGTACAAGAGAGACATGAACATACCACAGAGAATACAATGAAGGCTCACAAAGATGATGAAGGCACTGGAGCAACTCTCCTATAAGGGAATGCTGAGAGAGCTGGGTCAGTTTATCCCAGAAAAGAGGAGCCTTTAGGAAATCTTATTAATGTAAGATTCATAAATACCTGAAGAGAAGGTGCATAAAGGAGAGATCCAGACTTTTTTCAGTGGTGCCCGGGGGATGAGAGTCAATGGGCACAAACTGAAACACAGGAGGTTTCCTCTGAACATCAGGGAACACTTTAATACTGTTAGGGTGACTAAGCACTGGCAAAATCCTTGGAATTATTTAAAACTGTTTAGACAGAGTCCTGTGCAAATGGCTCTAGGTTATCTCTGCTTGAGCAGAAGTTTTGGAACAGAGGTTATTCAGAGGTCCCTTCTAACCTCAGGCATTCTGTCTTTTGATTCTGTGATTGTGTATATGTTTATCACATAATGTAAAAAAATACATACACAAACACACACACACACCTGTATATAAATTATCTGTAGTGTTTCTGTTTTGTTTTACATGTACTAATTTTGTTAGGGTTTTTTAACATTAAAAGGGTTTTATTTAAAATGCATTCAAAAATTGAAAATTGAGGACAACAGTGGCACCATTCAGGCACAAAAGTAGTTTCTTATACTTTTTTGACGAACTGAAAAAAGGTCCTCTTAAATACAGTTTTTGTTTGTTTCTTAATTTGCTTGTTAAGTTACTCTCTGTAAAAAATGCTATCAAAAGTCACAGGAAAAATATTTGATAAGCTTGAATGAACAATTCAAATAAATGATCTAAAATACTTCAGCATTAACAAGGTATAAGGATGCCACCACATTTTTACTCTCCCAAAATCCCTTAAGAATAAAAACTAGCATAAATTATGTTTTCTGTACAGATGAACATTAAATATCTGGAACACCTTTTGAAAAGTGTTTTATTGTATTATCTATTATATAATACTGCTTATTACATATATTATTACCTATTATAACATGAAATAAGTTCTTATGTTGGCCAAGCCACCAGTCTTTCTTTCTTGACTTGAATGACGAGATAAGAATCATTTTAGTTTAGAAGATGGTTCCAAGAAAATCAAAGAAACAAAAAAGTTTCTATGGCAACATTGCAGATTCTATTATTTAATTTTCAGCTTCATTATAGTTTCCTTTTAACAAGTTAACACTGGCTTGCCTTCTCCTAAATTTATCTACTGGATTATGAATTACAATGTTTAATATTGTACTGCTTAAGTCTGACTACATTGCCAATATAATTACTGTACCTTGAGAGTGAAATGAAGTATCATGGAAACTCAGACTGTAAATTTAAACCTTCATTTTAAGTGGATCTCAGTACAATCTTTCCAGTCTGTCAATAACTTCTGTAGTCTTTGACTTCCTCTTTATAAAGTTAATTTAAAAGTAAGGAATGAAAACAGTTGTTTTTTGGGTTTTTTTCCAAAGGTCCAATGATGAGCTGCTAATTTTGATCTGGCTTCTTTCCAGAGAAATCTTTGGCTAATTTTCAGTGCAATGAAAATGACAGAGGGTTTTATTTGATACATATTGAAGTATAAACCACAGCAGAAAAAAAAACCCAAAAACCCTTTTGGTAATAAAAAAGTAACATTTCACTTTCAGTTCTCAATAATTTTTGTTGAAATTCTGTTATGTCTTAATTCTAATTTTGAAAAAGACCTTACTTTTTTAGCATTACAATTGATATATTTATGATGCAGTTCTCAATTACAGAGCAGCACCAGTGTATAAGACTCAATTTCTAGATTAAATTGAACAGAAAGTTCAAGAGAATTGCCAGTATTGCACTGTAAAACATTTATTTCTAAATTTCTTCATAAAGAGTTTTTAAACCTTTTTCTTTTCATGTACCCAGCTCCCTAGTCACCTACCTCCTTGCTATATAAAGGCAGCTCAGCAATAGCCAAAATGTGTTACCAGCACTGTGTAAGAGACTGAAATGGTTGATGGCTTAACCATTGCTAAAATCATTGGAGGACTTTTGCCCACTATAGAAAACTGCAAAGATCCAGCTGTTCATCTGTGACCATCAAAACCCATATCTCCCTAAATATGCCTACTAACTGGAATTTGGAGTGTAAGGGGAACTTGAGATGAGATAAAGGGGGCACCCCAGAAGTGACACTGGAAGAGAGATTGGAATGCTGATGGCTCAAACAATCAGGGACAAGCTGCTGATGTGCAAAGTAACCTCCCAGGTTCAGTGGGAGAGCACAGCTGACACCTCAGGCTACAGCTGGTGTTGAACCAGATAAGGACAGAGGCAAATCCTGCAAGGCACACTGCTGTCTCTTTGTCCTTACTCAAGTGACTCAGCTGTGATAACTCCCCTTTGGAGAAGTACTGGGGCATTCACACGTAGCCTTGAAGGTATCAATCTCTGCTGATGGGCCATAATGGGTCTTAAGGGACTCAAATTCATTGATGTAATAGGCATCTGTATCTTAGAAGGTGTCAAAAACTCCAGAAGTGTCCCATGATCCACATTACCTCATCCAGTTGAAATTCCCCACTCCAAGCGAGGTACCTGGGCTTTCCTACCTGAACTGAATATAAACCAAATAGCTTCCCTGTGCTGTGGATTTCATTGGGATTTCCTCCATCAACTGGTCTGAAGCTGTCACTTTGACCAAGATGGTGACCATCACTTCAACAGACATCAAAATTGCCCCAAACAAGTCTTGTCTTGAGGCCTGTGGGTGGTAAGGTCTTTCCAACCTGATGCCTTCCTTCTCTTTCTTAAACATTTTCTTAAGTGATATTTTTATGTTTTTATATTGTAACTAGTTATATAACTGTTTTTCTGTGCAATCAAATTGTTCCACAATAAAGCCTACATGTGTGCTTTTAAAAACAACAGTCATTCAGAGTTGTTTCACTCCCCAAGGGATCTGTTAACAGGATGGGTTACTCTCACCTTCTGTTTTATCAATAAGTGCAAAGTACAGCACATTACCAGCTGTCATGAAGAAAGTTAACTCTACTCCAGCCAGGACTAGTACATTAACTGAAAGGAGAACTGAGTGTCCAAATGACTGCCAGTGGTCAACTAGGTAACTAGGCTGCTCACTCACTCAAATCAGGGCTTCTGCCAACACTGGATTTAGTGATCTGGTCTAGCTAATTCAGGAAAACCTTCAATGAAGAAGGTCACTTGGCCTTTGAAAAAACTGCTGCATTTGTTCACTGCATTCCAAGTGATTCCTTCCCAAGCCAATGTCCAACCTGAACTGTCCATGCTACAAGTTAGTTTGTCTCACATTTTGTGATGTGCTTAGGATTGTTGTTCTATGATCTTACCTTAAGGTCTTAAGCTGCTCTTAGGTCATTGCTTAGCCTCCTTTTAACTAGTTTGAACAAGCCAACTTCTTCTTCTTTCTAGACATACCATCTTGGTAGCCCACCCCTGAATCTTCTCCAATTTGTTCCTATGCCTTTCAAATCACGGGGTACAAAATTGGAAACAATTGTGTAGGTGCAGCCTTAGCAGCACCAGGTATTATGAGAATAATAACTTTATGGAAATAAAAACTTCATATTGCCTGGTGACAGAATTTTTTGTGTTGTAAAACAACACAGAGTTTTCTTAATTCATACTGTTGACTCATCCTCAGCCTGCTATCTGTATAAATCCCATGTATTTGGGGTTTTTTTATTGTTGGTTTGTTTGTTCTGTTTTGTTGGTTTTTCAGAAAATATTTATTATTCTACCTGTTTTTTCTTAGCATGTTAAAAAATCTGCAGTTACTCCTGTTCAGTTTCACAACTCTGCCCTTCTTGTGGATGTATTGGTCCAATCCTCAAGTTTATTGAGATCACCCTGTGTAAAAGGTTACCACTAATTTTTTCTGATTCTGAACAGGTTTGGTTTTAAACACTCAGAGTATTCAGAAGTTGCAGATTATAAACTGAGAGAGTTTTCACAAGGACACAATAACATTCTTGTTGTTATTATGATCATGGTTACATAATTTTAAAAATACCTGAGGTGGAAGGAGTGGTAATCTGATATAAGCAAGCAGCATACTTAGGTCATTGCATCGCCTCTGCATATCATATTTCACCCACATCATTAAGGCATGGAAAATGGTCTCTTCATCAGGAACATTCACATCATCACTGGCAAGAAGTTTATGGAGTTCTTCAGCAGGTAGAAGTAAAAATTCTTGATTTCGTATAACTTCCATTATATTCTCCTGAGAAAAGAAAAGTATTTCAGATTCAGTAATACTGCAAGAAAATTAAAAACCATGTTAAAGCTAATAAACCATAGGATTAGTCAATATCTGCCATACCCAGATATGGCTATGCTTTGCCATATCCTTGCAGCTCATATGAGAAAAACAAAACATAAATTATTAGAGTTCAACAGCTATAGTTGCAATTCTTATATAAATATATTTCAAAAACAATATGATTATATGATAATATCATAATTAAAATTTGTCAGAATTAGTAAAGGCTATTGTTTGAATTTTTTATAAACTCAGTTGTAATTGAGTTTATATTGTAAGTCTTTACATACTCATACTATGAATATGTAATATATATTGTAAGTCTTTACATACTCATACTACATTTTCCTGGATATTTTCACTGTACTTCTTTCACTATTTCTTAAATAACTTGTCAGTCATATAGTTGTATTATGAATATCTAGACTTCTGTCTACACATATGACAAGGCTGAGGGAGGGGACCATCAACATAATGAATTAAAGGTTATTTTTTGACATTGTTCAGAACAGATTTTTAATATCTAGTTATCATGCAAATAGTTTACAGCAATTAAGATCTCACAGTATTGAAAACTATTGTACTGTTGTGATTTAGGAACTGTACTCCCCAGTTCAGTGCCCCCACTGAGACTCTCCAAACCACTGACACTCTCTTGCTCTCCTGCTTTTCCCCTCACCCTTCCACATTGCAGTGGGCTGGAGAGGAAAATTGGAGGCACAAAAGTTAAAGCTCACTGGTTGAGATAGGAACAATTTACAGGAAACAGCAATGAGGTAAGGAAACAAGGAGTAACAGCAACTATACTAATGACAGAGACAAGAAAGGAAACGATTCCCACAGAACCACAGCCCTCACACCCACTCCCCCCATCCCCAACAGACAACACCAGATGGATCCCTCTGTTGCATTTACTCAACCAGAAAGAACCCTTTTCCCTTGGAAGAGGCCTTTCTCCCTGCTTCCATCAATGACATCAGGTTTTACAGACTAGCCTCTGTGTCCTAGTTATGCCTCACTCCTGGCTACCTCAAAAAAAATTGGACAGAACCAGGACAAATAAAAATAGGAATAACTAAAAACCTTTTAAAAAATCCCTGTAAACTACATAAAAAAACCTAAAAACAAACAAAAAACAACAAACAAACCCCAAAAAAGTGTTGCATTTAGTTGTCTGAATCCTAAGGAGTGAATTAAACCCTCCTTGAACTACCTACTCTACATCAACAGGACACAGTAGAATCACAATTCTACAGATATTTTTTGTCCAAATATTTCTTTTAGGGTGCTTTATCACCATGGAGAAATTGTAAGTGTGTTTTCATATTCTCAATTTAGAGACGGAAAAAAAGTGAAGTAATTGAAGACTGGAGGCACAAAAAAAAAAGAAAAACTAAATCTTTATGTAAACTGAAAATGTAAAAAGCAGTATTGGGAACAGTAAGTTGCAACATCTAATTTATGAAAAATAATAATGAATTTTGTTATGCTGCTTTGGATAGAATTTTTAAGATGAGAAGTGGGAAAGAATGACAAAACATCAGTCAAGGAGGACTTAAATGTAAGAATATCAAAACTGAGGGAAATTGATTATTCCACTGTTATACCCTTTAAATTCAGTTTTTAGCATATCAAAATCCAACCAATGTTGCCTATAATTGCTTGATTGTGTCTCAACCAGGGGAAAGACTGACTGGTCATCAAAACTGAAATAGAAGGCATTATAACAAATACAAGAAAATAACGTGCAAGACTTACAACAATAGAAGCATACTCCGACTCTAGTATGTCACATGCTGTCCTTCCCTGATTTATTCAATAGAAGGATTCTCCAAATTCATACTTTTAGAAATGAACTGTTTAAACATATTTATTAAAAATTAACTGCATATTATTTTATATATGGCAGCAGAAATGAATATTGCAGACATAGACATGACAAAATCATTAGAAGAAGTTTCTTGAAATTTGTAATGTAATTACAGATAAAATACATAAGCACAGATAGAATAAATTTGACAAAGTTGAAAATGATGTTTATTATTATAACTGTGAATGGTTTGATATGTACAACTTAACTCAATGTGTTGCTTTTTAACTCAAAATTTATAGGATGCTGACACAACAGAAAATGAAAGATGTATATGTGGTCATGACCTATATTGACCATGGTGTTATGCTACCTTAACATAATTGATAATTGGATCAAAACATGACTCAATTATTTTTAAAATTACTACATTAAATGTCAATTGGTCCCTAAAAATGTAGATTTTTCTGGAATGAATTTTTAAACCATTACCTCCTGATAAAGTTTAAATTTGTGTCTCGAACATTTTAGAATTGCTTGGAAATGTAAGGGAACTAGTTTGCAGGGAGGCACTTAACCACAAGCTGGCTTAATTAATTTTAATTAAAAAGTCATAAAACTCACAAGATTTCATTGCACTTCTCAATAAAATGATTTATAAGACAAAGTTTAATTAAGCCTGGTTCAACTGACATTAAATCCCATTATAAAAAAAAAGAAATAACTCTACCTCTTAATAGGAACCAACAGCAAACTTTGCAATAGCATATTAATCCAAAGACCTAATATTATAAAGTAGCACTGTGATGATGGAACACATTCCACGATCCCACAGAAGTTAATTTATTAAGAGTAACATTCCAAGCAGGAGTTTTAACTTCAGAACAATAATTTTAGATTTGATTAAGGTTTCTTTTGGACATCTTAAATTGTATTTTATCTGCATACATGCTTAAAGAGAACTTATTCCAGCCTCTGTACTGATTGCAGAATCAAACAAAGTTTTCAGACAAAACATATAAACTCAAATCTCTTTCTCTAAACATCTGGACTTACATAAATTTCATGTTATGTGGGCATGAGCATTTCAGAAAATAACAAATATAGATTATGTTTTATACCTATAATATGCCATATATATTATAAATATACCATATGTATTCTTATTTATAATATAAATGTAATATATATAATTCTGATTTATATATAGAATCCAGGTTTTTGATCTTCTGAGGTAAAAACTCTCTCCTTCAACTGATTAGCATTTCCTGAACTGACTAATGAATTTTAAATCTTCCTAGATAATGTTTTAACTCCTTGAGGTTCATTTCATCTGGAGCAGCAAAGCATATTTCAATGGCTAGCTGTTCTATCACAATAATTTCTCATATGCTAATTGTGGAAAAATATCCACCTTTTTTTTTTTTAATATGACTAGTCTTCTTGTTTGCACTTTAGGGAACATGATTCAACAGATATATGTGATATCTTTTCAGGATATATTAAATAAATTTTAAATTCTCCTGAGATTAAGATGCAAGGTAGGAATTGAGGTACACAGTTATGCAATCACAGATTCATTACAGCTGGAAAAGACTTAAGATCATCCAGGTCAATCATTAATCTAACACTGGCATCTTCACCACTAAACCATGTCCCAGGTACCAAATCTAGATGTTTTTTGAATACTTCCAGGGATGGTGATTCCACACTACGATTCCACTTCCCTTTCAGTGAAGAAATTTTTCCTAATATCCAATGGCATTTTCCCTTGGAACAAGTGGAGGCCATTTCCTCTCATTCTGCTCTAGTGAAGTGCTTTCAGGAATGCCTAGGGCCTCATGGGAAGATAAACCTTTATTATGGGAACCAGGGTACTGAACCTTTAAGCATGCCAAAGATTATGTGACAGAGTTGGATGAGTCTCCAGGACCTGTAATTTTTGACTCTAATACTTTAAGAGGCTTTGTGGATCGGTATTCACCATCTCATAAGTCTTATAAAATGCACTGGATCTGCTCTGCATGCATCATTCACGTAGCCTTTCCATGTTTTAATTAAGTGGAGTGGTAGATTTCTGTTTTTAATTCAGAAAATGTAACTTGGAGTAGAAAGTATGACAGTCTCTAAACCCACCTGGACAAAGCTCTGTCACTTGATTGCTCTTCCACTTTCTAAAAATGACCATGCAGTAACAATTGCTGTGGGGTTATAGCATTTCAATGGTAGAGCTGCTTCACTTTTAAACCTTTTTAGCAGTACACAAGGTCAGCCTTAAATAAGCATAAAATACTAGAACAGCAGAGCCATGTAAAAAAAAAACATATCTATGTTTAATGGTAGATAGGCAATCGTGCAAGTATCTAATAGATTGTGCATCATAGGAACATTAAGGTGCTAATAAAATTAAACTATTACTAAATGGAATTTAATGCCATATATATTTATAATGATGACACCAACACAATTAAATTAGATTTTTTTTTAATCTTAACTTGTAATGATTATTATTCCACATGGATTCAAATTATCTTGCAAAAGCTAGTTTTCATTGATGGTTATGTCATTGATTTCACTAATCAGCATGTATCAGTTATAATTAAGAACCTGAAAAATATTAAATAATTTCATTTGTTGACAAAGAATGTCATATTCTGAGAGTGCTATTCAGAACCTGCTACATCAGAGTTACCAAGGAAGTAAAACGCTTAGCTGGTGTTTTGGTTTTGGATGTAGGGGTCTTATTTAAAATGTTTTATATTTTTTTGATATGGATGCTGTGACCTTAACAATTAAAAAATTAAAATCACATAATCTCATGCCAAAAAGTAGATATCCATATACTAGGCTTTCATTTATTACATACCTAATGTCTATAATATTTTAAGCTCATACTACTTTTAGTTTAGAACTTAAGTTTTCATGAGAATATTTAAATAAATTAATAAATAGTGCATCTGATTTTCATATTAAACCATACTGGCAGTATACTTTCTGAAGTGATAAGACATGAAAGAAAATTTTGATTTCGGTCAATTCCCAAATTATTTCAGTCTGGAATTATTGCTGCTGTGCTACACTGAATTCACACCTCTTGTTCTTATGCCGTATTTTCTGTATCGGGTGTGTTTCATATAAGACTACACTTCCT